TCTAGTAAAGTTCACTGATACTTTCTACTTATCAGATGTGTTGTTTATACCAGATTTTAAATTCAATTTAATTTCCATTTCTAAGTTGGTTTCTTCTCTTGATGTGCAACTCATTTTTTGCTCCACGTCTTGTGTTATTCAGGATCTGAAAACCAACGAGAAGATTGGTACAGTTGATGTAAATGTTGGACTCTACACCATGACCATTGCTGCCATTCAACCCTCTATATGTTCTACTGTCTGCAATCCTGAATGTAGCATTCAATCCATTGATTTGTGGCATTTTCGCATGGGTCACTTGCCATATGAAAAATTACATTCTATGAAACAATATTACCCATGTCTATATAGTAACAAACACTTTACGTGTAACACCTGTCATTATGCTAAGCAAAAGAAACTCCCATTCCCTCTGAGTCATTCTCATACATCTAAATCTTTTGACTTACTTCACATTGATATCTGAGGACCTTGTTCAAAAATATCTTTACATGGACATCGTTATTTTCTTACCATAGTTGATGATCATACACGATATACGTGGGTTTTTCTCATGAAAACTAAAGCAGAGGTGCGTAATTGTGTAACCAATTTCATTGCTTACGTTGAATTGAAACTCAAGTCAAAGTTATAAGAACTGATAATGGGGTTGAATTTTCCATGAATAAATATTTTGAATCCAAAGGAATTATTCACCAAACCACATACATTGAAACTCCTGAGCAAAATGGAATTGTTGAACGTAAACATCAACACCTTTTAAACGTTACCCGTGCACTCCTTTTTCAATCTGCTCTTCCCCTTTCGTTTTGGTGTTTTGCACTCATGCATGCTACATACATCATCAACTGCCTTACCACGCCTTTCTTACAACGTATTTCCCCTTTTGAAAAATTATATGGCAAACCATGCGACATTACCACTCAGTCTTTAAGATCATCTCATTCCTCTTGGTTCTTTTAGTATATCACCTCTTGGATTCCTTGGCCTTAGCCATAGTCTATCAATCGGGCGTGTCCTAAGGCAGATAGTGCTCAACTTCTCTGGAAGGCCCTACGTCGGGCGCGAAACCCTAATGTGATCTCCCCAAGCTCGTATTTGAAGCCATTTTCGAGGGTTTCTCCCTCATTCACGCAGGGGCGCCTCCTTAGAGCTATAGAAGGGATTCTCAGAGCTTAGGAACGTTCGTTTGTGGATCTTTCCTTTGGTTCTTCACTTCCCCCTTCATCTCTATTTTGTACATTCTATTTTGTATTTACCTTCATCTCTATATATATATATGTTGTTCATTCTTTGTTGTGTATGTTTCTAAGCTTAATGCTTGCTTTGGATTGATCACCCTTTGCATGATTTAAGGTTCCATTGAGTATTGGGAAATACCATTGAAACTAGTTCTGGAACATATGCCTAGTGGAGATTGTATCTAGGGATAGAGCTTAACCCATTAGTAGTCTTAAACCCTAATCTGTAATGCGGGTGTAGGTATTGGGTACTCAAGGGATTGATATTCAATATCCGCACCTAGGCTCTTTCTCTAAGGGATTAGGTTTGAGTAAACTTATGGGTTGACTAAGCAATGTATGTAACAAGAGATTAAGGATTCATTAGTCTGACGTTTGGTGAAATCTAACCCCCACAACCTCACAAAACCATTATACCATCTCTAACCTTTTCCACTCACAATCAATTATTTTTGTAGTTTAACATTCCAATAGTCATAACCTTGAATTCACATGACAACTATGAAATTGGAATCATTCTTTAGTCACGAATAGTCAATAAATGCTTATTTTACCTTCTAATCCCTATGGATACGATATTTTTACTACTTGAACGGCCGGTATACTTGCCGTGTTTGAGATCGTTGATAGAATTAAACTGATTTACAATTATAACAAAAGAACTTCAACGGAAAGCTCAATAAGTTTTTGGCGCCGTTGCCGAGGATTAGAAAGGCAATTTAGTATTTATAGCTATTTGTGATTTAATCCTTTATTGTTTTTGTTATTTTTATGTTAGCAATGAATTGTTGGAACTAACCTGTGTACTCTAGTCTTCAGTTTTCTCTTGTATGCAAGGTACTGTTCAAATTAGATTGACCAATCCTTCTGAGCCGTTGTTGAGCACTCATGAGGTTGAACACGGGGCAAAGGGGAACAAGAGCAACAAGAGGAGAAGGGGAATCAGAGCACTTCAAGTTGGTCACCGTCAGGCTCGGGACAGTAAACAAGCGCTTCCTGGGAGGCAACCCAGAGATCTGAACTGTGTTTTTATGTGTTTTTCAATTACTTGTTGTTTTTAACTTTGATTGTTTATGATTATGTTATAATTGTAGTTTATACTAGGTATTGGGACTTGTTTTGTGATTGTTTATGTTCTGTGATACGTATGTTGTATCGTATTATATGTGTTTTGTGTTAGGTATTAATTGTGTGAATCTTGCTTGAGTGGGTTAATATAGATTAGAATATGTTAAGAGTGTGAGGAGTGGAAAATCTAGGTGAAAGCTTTATAGAGTTAACCACGCCGGGCGCGACATAGCCACGCCTAGCGCACCTAGAGTAAATTGGCCTCTGCCAAGACCCACGCCGGGAGCAATTCCTATTGCGCCCGGCCCAGCCTTCATTAAAGCCCCTGGAACGACCAAGCCCGGCGCCATGCGCCGGGCGCATTAACTACTGGAAGATCTGAGCCTTAAATACGTCGGGCGCATATCTGCCCAAGCCTGGCGCATTGAATGCTTGCACGTTGTAACCCTAGATAAGCCCGGTGTGAAATGGCAGCGCCCAACGCGACACCAGATAAGGGCAACTCTTGGGCTTCTACTGATATGGCGCCCGGCGTGGAGAATTGCAAGCCCGGCGCGCCGCTTCAGATGCCCCATAACCCCTCACGCCCACTCTCCCACTCTTCAATTTTCAACTTCCACTTCCCACTCTCTCAACCCTCTAAACTTCTCTCAACCTCCCACACTCACGCAAACTCCTCTCCCACTCTCTCTGTTACCTCAACTTCTCATCTCCCAAAAGCCTTCTTCCCTCTCTCAACTCACTCTCACAATCTCAACAAGTTTTTCCTACTCTCTCTACGCTCCTCGAACCCTCTTCCTCACTCCCCACTCATCTTCTTCTCAAGGGCGCGCATTCGCTTTCTCCCTTCCTTCCAAGAACTCCTCATTCAAGTAGGTTTCAAACTTCTTGTTTTATTTTCTTGTATACCATATTTTCATCTTTTTTCTTGTTTATGGGGTTCCATGGGTTCTTGCTAACCCGCATTGGGGTTTAGGGCTGAAATGTCTTCACAAAAAGCCAACCCTGGGTGCAGTCACGCCAGGCGCGAAGAATCACGCCTGGCAAAAATGTGATTAAAAATTTTCAGGTTGAATGTAAGCCGGGCGCGATGAACTACGCCCAGCGCGCCTTTCTGTCAAAGCTTCGAAACGGCCCGTTCCAATTCCCGAACGCCCCGTTTCGGAGCTTGGAACGGACTGTTCCAATTCCAGAACGACCCGTTTCGAATTTAAGAACAGCTTGTTCTGATCTTGGAACAACCCGTTCTGAGCACTTTTCAAAAAACGGTTACTTGCGCCCGACACAATTCCTTTTTACGCCCGGCACAGTTGGTTCCAGAGAGTCCTCTCTACTCTCTGCGCCCGGCGCAATAATGTTTTGCGCCCGACGCCTTTGCTTCCAGAGAGAGATATATGCTCTCTGCGCCTGGCGTGCAAGTTTCAAGCCCGGCGCAAACACCTCTGAACCCTTGTTTTTGTTGTTTTTAGTTTCTTTTTAGGTTTCAGTTTCAGTCTAAGGCTAGTTTCCTTTTGAGTAACTTGAACTGGTCATCATTGTATGTTTTATGCTCATGTCTCTGCGCCCGACGTGCAAGTTTGAAGCCCGACGCAAACACCTCTGAACCCTTGTTTTTGTTGTTTTTAGTTTCTTTTTAGGTTTCAGTTTCAGTCTAAGGCTAGTTTCCTTTTGAGTAACTTGAACTAGTCATCATTGTATGTTTTATGCTCATGTCTGTCTGCCTAAAATTCTTGTTTTATTTTTTGCAGATGGCCTCCTCTAGCAAGTGCCCCCGTGCTAGCCAATCGGGTCAACCTCCCCGCAAGCCGCGGAAGCCCTATTCCAACCTCTTCCTCACCGAGCGGAATGAAAAGCATTTCGAGTCTATCAGTGGCTGAAAATTTATTCTAGAGAGGCGGGTTGAGTTGGAGCCAAATGAGGCCCCGAATTTCCAGAATGAATTACACAGGCGCCGGTGGGACAAGCTTGGATCCTACCCACTCCCGGCCAACATAGCAGTGGTTAAGGAGTTCTACGTCAATGCCCTGAGACTAGAGGAGAGGGCATTGCGCCATTTACCAGCTATGTTAGGGGTGTGCATGTCCCCTATGATGCCAGGATGATTAATCAGTTTCGGGGGACTGAGCTGAGGGCTGATGAGGCGTCTGAGTATGGCAACTACACTACTGACACGATGGACCTTGCAGATGTAGAGGCTACTATCTGCATGCCTGGACTTGGGTTCCACAGGAACCGATCTCAGCAGCCTCTCCACGTGAGCACCGGGATCTCCTTCCATTGGTCAGGATTTGGTCTGCATTGGTGCATGCCAACATCCTCCGGTGCTCACATGTCTCCGACCTGCACTGGACCCGGTCCATGCTCATGTACTGCATCATGACACAGAGGACCGTGGACCTGGGCGGCATCATCTGTATGGAGATCTCTGGCTGCACCAACTCTGCACCTAGCTCTGCCCTTGGACATCCTTCGCTCATCACGCAGTTATGCCAGCTTGCAGGTGTGGATGTCCATTTGCCTCCTTTTGAGGGTCATGGCAGGGCCATTGACAGCAGATACATCTCTGCCTATTGCCAGGACCGCGCACCACCGGCCGTCCCTGGCCCCGAGCCTATTCATGCCGCCGGACCTCAGGAGGACATACCCATGGAGGATGCTGCTGCTCCAGGCCCTCCACTCACTCTCCATCAGTGTTTTGACGCACTAGAGGGCCGCATGAAGACCTATATGCAGAGGCAGGAGGACCGGATGGAGTCCCTCCATCCGCGGCCAGATGTTCATATTGGATACCTTCAGGAGCTTCTCTCTGCACGCCGCTCCTGCCTACCAGTTCCCCACCACTGCTGACTATCATGCTTACACTGGGTGGCCTGGGGACTAGGCTCCTCACTTTGGGGGGGGTGGAGCTGTTGCCGATGCTGATGATGCCGAGGAGGATGGAGCACCAGCTGCGGATGATGACCAGATGCCTTAGCCTACTTTTATTGTTTTTGTTGCAGTTTAATTTTCTATCTTTCATTTGCAATGTTTAACTATTTTTGTCCCAAAACTCTATTATTATTATATTTAGTTTCTTTTTGGTGATTACTCTGGTTGGTTCAATTTTTTGTGAATATTCTGCTTTAGCACGGTTTTGAATCTTGTTGATACTTGCTTTGCTTGTGGTCGATTCTGGATTGTGGTTTGCTTGATGTTTGTGGTGCATGTTTGTGAACACCATGCAAACCACAATCTAGAATCGACCACAAGCAAAGCAAGTATCATGGGAAACTCATATGGAAATGTGAATGCCTTGATCATATAAGTGCACAACAATTCCATATCGTACCCTTAAAACACTTATGCAAATGATGCATGTCAATCAAGACTCTATGCATTCTCATATCACATTATCATTTCCCATGGTCATATCACATCATCGCATTTCGTCATCATATTTCATTATCACATTTCATATCCCATGTCTCAATCACATTTCACTTTACATCATCATATTCACAAAGCCTCCACAGAGCACTTTAATTTATATCAAAACTCGTTTATTTACAAAATTAAATACATATTTTTACAT